TAATATGTTCTACTGTTTAGATGCCCAACCTACAGAATCTGAAAAGGAAATTTATAATCAGGTGAATGTAGTGTTAAAGGATGCAGAAGGAATACTGGAAGACTTGCAGTCATATAGAGGAGCTGGCCATGAAATACGAGAGGTGAGCTAGAGCGTTATGATTGTGCACAACCTGTGGTTGTTCATTGTCTGATCCTAACTAAGACTGCTGGATTTTAACTTTGCTTGCAGGAGCTGTTTTGGCAGAGCATGTTGTCTATTAAAATTGCTGTCTTGAATTTCTGCTCTGGAATGTTCTTCTTTAACAGTGAAACAGATGTCACTTGTTTCAATAATATTAATGCACATATGTAATAGCAAATGATGCTTCTCAAACTTTTTATGGAATTGTTGCTATTGATTTTTCTTTATATTCCCACGTAAGCTCTTCTTGAGTTAGTAGTGAATTTGGAAAGTGTGGCGTGACTACAATGCAATATTGAGTGGCGTCGACATCTTTTTGTATGCTAATTGGAGAATTCTGATGTGTGGTAATCCTAACACAAAAGACATCTCATTTTCAATCCCTTTTAATTGGCTTTTATTTACTAAAGTAGATGTTTGTAACAGAAGCAAAGTTTCTTTATAGCATGTCACTCCTTTTTTCCTTTACCTTTAAGAAAGGGTCGAATAAATACTCTCAACCCCCTTCCCTTCTTCCTTGGATGCAGCAATGGGGTTACTTTGCTCCTCAAGTGAGGAGTTACTGTGACATACTCTTAAGAAATCCAGTACATAGGAGGAGTCTCTGCTCGCTGTAGTTGGGTTTGAAATACTCAGAGCTGTTCAGCTTTAAAGTACTATGAGTTTTTATTCGGTCTCCTTTGAATTCATAAGGTAGGTTTAAGGAGGGTAACTGTGTCACATAAAACCCTTAGGAGGGGTGATAGCTTATTTGTCCTTCAAGTAAGGAGCATGTCTGCGGAGAGGCTGTAGGATCTGGCAGGAATGTGTGCCTCAGCCATGAAGTCAGCAGCTCCCATGGAGAAGGAAGAGTGACTCTCCTGAGAGGAGGTAGGCATCACAGGAAGGAAATGTTGTAGGGACCAAAGAGGGGTGTGCTGCAACTCACAGCCCAGAGTTGACAGAAACAGATTTTTGGAATCAAGGAGCTGACTGTGAAGATGCAGCAAGATAGTTATGAGCATTTTCATTTCTGTTTTCTTAGTAATTGTCAGTTGCTAAGTAGTCTAGTTACTGTCTTAAAAACCTGGAGAGACTGAATTTAAGGCTTCATCTGTCTGGAAAGCTTACTGTAAAGACAAGGTCTATGCATATATACCTCAGAGCTCTGGTACATACCATGTTTTGGTGGTGCTTTATGTTGTTGATTATGCTTTAATATTCTTACTGTAATATTTAGCCTGAATTTCACAGCAAATTTGATTTCTTCACAAATTCAGAAATTGGTGATAGATACCAACATTAGGATGGGGCATTGATCACTAAACTCTTTTGGTTGGAGGTACCCCAATAAAGATGTTGATTTTAATTAACTAGATCTGGTTATGTAAATTCTCGTATTTGAGTAGCTTTATTTTTAACAATTTCTTTATACTCTCTCCAAGTTGTTTTCCTATTCAGGATACTTATTTTCAACACAAGTATTTAGAGCTTTTTGGAGCAGACATGGGTTAGTACAGGCTTGTCTCCCAGGTGGAAACTTCTCAGGAGGTAGAATTTTTCATTACTAGTTCCTCAAACAGTTGCCCTGCATAGATATTTTTTTTCCCCCTCTCCCCCAGTAGTGTATCAGTTATTCTTAATCTAACCATACTTTTTTTCCTTTCTTTCTAATTTAAGGCAATACAGCATCCCAATGATGAGAAGCTGCAAGAGAAGGCATGGGGTGCAGTTGTTCCACTAGTAGGCAAACTAAAGAAATTCTATGAATTTTCTCAAAGACTAGGTAAGTGGAATGGTATTAACTTGGGGGTTTTGTCTTTAGTACATTTGGCAAGTTCAGATGTGATCACATCTAGGTCAGCCCCTTGTTAGTAGATAACTCACGTTGCCTGGATTCCTTCCATACACTGCATTGGCTCTCACTTACATCTCCGTACTGCCTTCTTGCATGTGAAAGCAAACTTGCTTCAGTGGTTACCTGAGAGGGAAGAGAGAATAGAAGCATACTTGTCATTGTCTTTCTCTGCCCCTCTGGTAATTCTGGAAAGCACTAACCAGCTGATTGTTTTGAAAATCAGTAGTCTCATTCATCAGAAATGAAATCTGTTAATGTTTCTGATACCAAAAGTACTTAAAAGTACTGTATTATTTCCCCTCCCGAAACACCAGAAATCATTTGGTCTGTGAAAATGCCTGATCTTGCTTTATGCAGGTATAATACTTAGGATGGCTCTTCATGTCTCTTACAAAACCAACTTGACTGATGTTGTCTCCAAGATGACAAAACTATTAGACTTGATTTGTTTTTTTCACAAACTATCTGTTGTTACCTCACTTTTAGACAGTTACTAGCATAACTCATGAAGAAGAGGTATTTGTGGTTCAAAAAATGGAAGCTTTTTGCAGGCAAGCTTTGCAGAGGTTAGGTGTTTATCACAAGATGATGAGCAGGAACTTGGATCATAAGTTTGTCTTGGAAATAAAGCAAGCATGACTTCTGCTGATAGTTCTGAAGCTCTTGATTTCTGTGTTATCTTAAAGGCTGGAGTCTGCTAACACAGGTTATTGAAATATGTTACACAAATGTTGCAGACAAAGCTTGAATAAAACTTTTCAAGAAGTTTTTTCATGGCTGTCAGTGCTGATTAGACCTAGTCTTTACAGCAGTTTGTAAGTATGACAACAGCAGCACATAGAAGTAATTTGTCAAGCCCCTTTATTATTAATTACCATGTATTTTGGCATATGTATATTAAGTCTAGCATGCAGAATATCAGTCAATAGAGATACAAGAAGCACGTGCAGTTACATTGCAAAATACTCTCCTCTCATTTAAGAGGCAGGATTGCGAGGTCTGTTGGGAGCCTTGACAAGCACTCCATATTCACCAACACAACACCTGGAGCGAGAGCAGGCTCTTGCTAAGCAGTTTGCAGAAATTCTTCACTTTACACTCCGTTTTGATGAGCTCAAGGTAAGAACTTGTAATTTTGTAAGCACAAAGTCTAGCAAAAAGAAAAGTCTATTTACTGAAGCAATCTGGGTTGTGTTCTTTAATAGAATAGAGCGTGCAGTAGATACTCCAATATCTACTGTGCTCAGCTTGTTCGCATGACCTAGAGTTAGACTAAACTGGAAAGCAGATGAGATATCATATTAGCTTTAGGCACTTGTTATATTTCAGTTCGTATTAATCGTATTTCTTCAGCTGAATTTGGCATATCTCTTGGGATAATGCTGCTGCTGCTTTTAGTATGTGCATATCCATGGCCAGCTATTTTCTTTGTAATGTGCAAAGAACTAAGCTGAAATGATGTTAATTTACTGGTATAAACATTGGAGTCAAACTAGCACAGCCATGTTCTTTCAACCTACTAATCTCAAACTCCTATTTAGGAGACTACTCCTTTTCTTCTTCTTGTTAGACCTTGTTCTGAAAAATCTTGAGAACTTAACCAGAAAGCTTTATGTTCTCCAGATCACTTCTCAACATGCCACAGGCCTTCTTACTTCAGAAGGCTGAATATTTTCTTGTTCTCAGTATTATATTTTATGAAAACTTGCTTCTCTATTTTTGAGTTTGTCAACTTTTTTTTGCTTCCATATGTATATAGATGACAAATCCTGCTATACAGAATGACTTCAGCTACTATAGAAGAACTCTGAGCCGTATGAGGATTAACAATGTCCCAGTAGGTAACCCTTAGAAGAAAAAAAAAGTAATCTTATACTACCACCTATGTTTTTTCATGTACAGAACAACTAAATTCTTATTTCCTTCTCTTTTATAGGCAGAGGGGGAAAATGAAGTAAATAATGAGTTGGCAAACAGAATGTCTTTATTTTATGCTGAAGCAACGCCAATGTTGAAAACCTTAAGTGATGCTACAACAAAGTTTGTGTCAGAGGTAAGAATATAAATTCATGGCTTGGGTAGTGTACCTCAAAGTACTGCATGGCCAGATGTCACTTTAGAAGACAAAACTCTTCTACCAGGCTTAATCTGGCATCTAGAAATCAAACTTGGTTTTTGGAGCCTCAAGAAACATAAAGTGTCTTTCTCAGATGCCATACAGGTTAGAGTAAATTCAGCTAGCCACCTTGTGGATGCATCACAAAAAGTTGGAGAGCATTACAAAATTGGTAGTGATAGCTTTTGTCAGGGAGGGAGATAGGAGAGGGGTGTGTGTTGGTTTAGAGCAGAAATTTCAGAAAATTGAAAGGGAAATAGTTTGATTCTCTCTGCTTGAAACAGGGAAGGGAATAGAAATGTAGCTTCCTTTTTGCCTTCTCAAGACATTTTTGTTCTGCCCTGTGAAGTCAAGTATTACTTAGAATATTGTAGATGAGAGGAGGAACCTGAACTGGAAAAGTATTCCATCATTTTAACACATCTTTATATTCTTAACTACCTAAAGAGATATTAGTGGTAAAATCCAGTCAGTATTGTGCTTGACTTCTGATAACTGTGATGATTTTTTTGTCTTACATGCCAAGAATGAACGCTATTTCTTAATTAAAAATAATTGTACTTTACATGATTAATGCAAAGATACTTTTGTCTTTCAGTATTTTTTCCTAAGTTCTGCTTTACACTTGACATGTGTTGAGAAAAATGGCCTCTTAGTTTACGTTTGAGAGGTTTGTCTGCCTTTAAAGAGCAGGTTAGAAGATTCCTTTAAAATATCCCAAAAGTCAATAGTGTCAATGGTGTATTTATTTGACTACAAACAAGCAGGGAAAACCCATATGGTAAACTTTGCTCTAAGTCGTTAATCTATATTGTCACATTTTTAAAAAACAGTGCAAGGCTACCTGACTTACCGTAGTTGTGTTGATGTTTTTAATTCTTCCACATTGCCATGCCAATAGATCACTGATTTAATTTAGGTTTTGTGGTATAATATTTCACAATAGTCAAACTGGAAATTGTTTATTTTCTGCAGAATAAAAATTTACCAATAGAGAATACTACAGATTGCTTAAGCACCATGGCTAGTGTGTGCAGGGTCATGCTGGAAACCCCGTGAGTATAAACAGCGCTTGTATTGTGTATGAATCATCTCTGTATTTAAGACATGACTTGTGATGCATAAGGTGAAAGAAATATCATTGGGGTACTTAGGATCTATGGTATTTTCTTTTTACCAACTTATTTTCACGTCAAGGTAAACAACTAAGTTGTCTCATTTTGCTAGCCATGCAAATCATGCGGTCTATTTTTCTGAACATATTAATATTTAAAAATAGAATGGCTATGAAAGCTAGACAGCCTCTTGGTGCTCTTTACAAATGGTTTTCTCATGTATAATTCAGGGAAATAGACTATTTGAGCATGATTGCCTCCGGCCTCCTGAAAGAGGGGCTGTGGGCAGTGCCTTGGATGGTATCTCCTTGCAAGTTGGCTTGGCTGATGACTAACAAAATTACAGCGCCACTGTCTGGGGAATTATGAGATGGCTTTTAGGCATGAAAGCAGTCTTGTGAATGTGAGAGGCACTGGGAGTACAAACAAAAAGTCAAACTAAACTTTGGGGTTTTATCTGTTTCTTCTGGGTTCTAAATAGTTTCCCATTGCTAAAATTACTCAGGCATGAGGTGTGTCTCATTTAAATATGTTTCTGTCCAAATATCGCAGTACGTCTGTTTTGGAGCACATGAAGAGCTCCAAACATTATATTCTTCCCTGCTTAGGAATGGTTTGTCCCATTCAAGAAAGTAGTTGTGTTGTTTATTAAGCTTGCTTTTCTTTTTTCCTTTTTTTTTTTTCCCTCCCTGAGTCAGAAGTTTGGGTTGCATGTATTATTAGAGGGTGGAGAGAAAAAGGGTAGGAAGCATTGAAAGCAAAGTTAGTATGTATTATTTTAATCTTTCTTTCCTAAAAAAAAATTATATATATATATGCACACACACACACCCCCCCTGAAATGGTGTAGCAGTAGGGTGCTATTTATGTTTGAGAATCTGTGTTAACCTCCAGATAACTCTTTCCAAGCAGTGGTCTGACTTGTAGGCAGGTTATTGAAAGGAAAAAGGAAAACTCTCAAAAGCTTGTGGGGTTGGTGGGTTCAGGGGGTTTTGTTTGTTTTGGCTTTTTTTCTCTGAGGATTTATAGTTGGATTTTTCTCTTTAATCTTATTTTGAGCATTACTAGTATGTAGTCTTGTCTTGCATTTGATAGATAATCATGTTTTTAAATTACAGTGAATATAGAAGCAGGTTTACGAATGAGGAAACAGTGTCATTCTGTCTGAGGGTAATGGTGGGTGTCATCATACTCTATGACCATGTGCATCCGGTGGGCGCTTTTGCCAAAACTTCAAAAATTGATGTAAGTTTATTGTTACTAAATAATCTTTTGAGTGTTTAAATTGTGTGTAGGCTCCTTTTTCTGCTCTCCAGGTTCTAGTAGCAGATGTACACTTTGTGTTGATGCTAAATGGGCAGTGGTAGCTGTTAGCAAACTACCTAAGTAGTGAGAAATACAAACTAGGCCTTCAGACAGATAAATGGTTGTTAGATCATGAAAAATCTGTTTCGATGGAATTCTGATACCGTCTCGAAATACTTGTGAACAGTGGTTGTGTTGAAAGATCCAAACTGGAATGATGGGAAATAACAACGGCATCTAGTTTGTTCCTCACAATCGGTGAAAAGCTAGGGTCATCATCCACCAGTCCTCAGCTTTTCGCTGTTGTTTTCTAGTAAGTCTATGGAATACGTGCTGTAACTGCGTGCTGCTTTGTGGTAGCTGCAAATGGACCGTTATCCCATTGTATTAGCTACAGTTTGTCCTTATTTCACTGGCTGAATGTAGTCATTCTTAATGGATTGATGATAAACACAGATTTTTATTTACAGTTCCTTTTTTTTAAGGTTTATAAAGCAGAGCTTGACATCAAAGTTGGATTGTCTAAAGATGCATATTATTAAGTAGCTAAGCCATTCTGTCATATGAAAATGTAATACTGAAAGCTTAATTCCTTTCTGATATCAAGAAAATGTCTTTACTGCAATTTTTAAATGCTTTTTTCTCTGACAAAGAATATAAAACACTTCTGTAAACTTAGGTATTAGCATGAAAAAACCCTATGATTTTTTTAACTCCTAGATGAAAGGATGCATCAAAGTTCTTAAAGACCAGCCTCCTAACAGTGTAGAAGGCCTTCTAAATGCTCTCAGGTACTTTTATTCTTTTATTTGAAATATTTTTACGTGAATTTTCATCAATTGTCCAGGGCATTTCCTTCAGCAAGGTATTCAGTCAGTGTTACAGGTAGAAGGTGAATGTGGTTATTGCAGCCTTCTTTTCCAATGTGTCTTGAGACAGGGATGCTACTGTGTTTTAAAAGCCAGTTTTTAAACTTGCAGTTGTTCATTCTAAGGTAACTTTTTGCATACTTTAACTGCATGCAGGTTAAGAATGAGTCTCTAAAGGTAAACATGACAGAGTAGACATCATGCCTAAAGTTAAAACTGATGCCAAAGTATAACGCATACTTAAAGCTAACTAGAAGTTAACTGTGATCACATCTGCTGACTGAACTACCAAACAAGCAAAGGAGTGGCTGCAGCGTGTGCACTGTGACTTGTGCCAGCTTCCCAAAGAGACGGCCGAATTAGTTTGTGTTGGCCATATCCTCAGCTGTGTGTGGTTTGACCATGGCTTAATGATTTTATTTACTATTAGCAGAATATAAGAGCAGTTCCGTGTGATTTTTGTGTTTTGCAGATAGCTTCAGACACATAAAGCAGATAGGTTTTTTGGTATGTAACTAGAAATTGTTTCTTTTTCCACAAAGTATTTATAGGGAGGTACTTAAGGCAAGAGTCTCAATGTTTTTGCTGTAGAATAGACGAGATGAAAAATTGCCACATTAATTGGAGAGGTAAAGAAAAATTAATAATTCTGTATAGAAACCTAAAAGCTGCTAATTTGGGTCGTAAAGCTGTATTGGCAGTCGGTAACATGTTGTTCATGCGGGTGTCCAGCATCAGAGGAGTGGCAAGAAGTACCAAAATGTGATAAGCAGATGAAGGCTTCCTTCTTGTCCTTACTTTAAAAAGTATCATATTACTTTGGTAACAGTTAACTGTAACTGGGTATTGTTATTCATGCACTCACTTTGAAATGTGGAAGCTTTAGTTTGTCTTGCCTGAAAGTGTGCAGTTGTGCTTTGTTTTTCTTATCTGTAGTGAAACTGTTCTAATTTCTTTTTCTCCTCTTTATGTTAAGATGTGGTAAGAAGTGAAATAATGTGGTATTATAAGTGGTTTTGCTTGTAAAGCTTTTTCAGATTATTAGCTAAAGAAAATCTGGTGTTAATTTGAGATTTCATGTGAGTATTTCCATGCCTAAATAATTTTGTTGTTCATCTCTGAACCTCCTGGATGTGATCAGTCTTTGAGATGGTGATCAATAAAACCCAAGCTTCCAGAGGGAAAATGCTGTATTAGCATTTAGTTTCTGAGTAATTTGTTGTGATTGCAGCTACAAATGAACACTAATCTTTACTGGTACCCCATTTTTCCCTATTGTGATCAACACTGTTAGTAAAGTACATGGAAAGTGTAGTGCAGGTTCTCGCTCTGTTCTGCGTTATTTTGTGGTTAGTAAATTCAGTCTGTGCTGTCATGCCGACCTTTCACCACACCAACCCATTCCATGCATGCATACATCAACAGTCCTGGTTTCATGCATTTGATTACTCGTTTGGGTAGGATATTTAAATCTTTTTTTTAAATCCCATTTGGAGTGGTTAAGAAGAGGTGCAGAGGTGAGCCGCTATGTGCGTGCATGGTGAAAGCAGATTCAAGATGATGTTATGAAAAATTAAGTCCAAATTTAAGTCTCTGATTCTGGAGGAGTGTTAGAAGTTCTCGTGTTTTCTCAAGAGACAGATAATGTGTCTTAAAAGCAAATAGAAGGTGGTATGGATTTTAGAGGGACATCAGCTGTTTATAATTTGAATTTCATATAACTGTTGTAATCATGTTCAGCTTTGTCATGCGGGCACAATACCAAGTGCAATAATTTTTCAGGATTTTAGCAAACCTTAGGCCTCTTGTGGGAAGTATAAATTACCAAAATGTGCTGAAATCTGTTGATACTAATTTCCAAAACAAAAAGTCATTGTATATTCTTCAGGTGAACAAATAAAATATCACTGTAGTTGTGCATCACAATCAAAGTGCTAATTTAACATGTTAAACTTAAATTGCAGAGTAAATTTTTACTTTTAGATTACAGTCAGGGAGAGGAATCACGCAAAGAAGCTAGCATTGAGGATATACAGTACTGTCCTCTAAAATAAGAGACACCTAAGTTTTTTGTAGTGATCTGAAAATGTTCTAATGCCCTGGAGAATTTGGAAGCGGGGAGGAAGTACATGCATGTACTCTTTAGTTTTAGCAGCACGGTTGCTTAATTAAACAGGCAGTTAGGATGAAAAGCGATTTAAATCCGTTCTCTCTGAGGGATCTTGGAAAGGTTTGGTCGCTGGAAGTTTGGAAGAAAAGTTTCTGAAGGTATGTTTGAGTTGAAGATGTTGCCTGTGGACAGAGACCTCAGAGTTAGTCTTACTCATCATTAGTCATCACAACTGATAACATGAGTTTACGATGAAATAGCCTATGAGGGCAAAAGCAAACTGTGCAGTGGGTGGTAATCAGTGACTGAAGGTTTTACTCTGGCTTAATAAATATATAATTTCTCTGTTTATGGCTCAACCTACCTGTACCAAAGAAAAATAGCATCTGTGCTCTTTTCAACTTGATTTTTATTTCTGTGTTTAGGTACACAACAAAGCATTTGAATGATGAGACTACCTCCAAGCAAATTAAATCCATGTTGCAATAACAATTACCTGGAATTCGCACCTGCTGTAGACAGTATTCTGCAATGACTGAGATGCACAGATTTTTTTTAGTGATTGCAACTACTATCTTGTTCATTCTTGCTTTTTATTTTCTCTCTTCCTGTTTACCCTTTTTTTTAATCACTTTCTTGTTCTTAAGTAAGCTCAGACTTCTTTTCTGTGCCAAATCAATGAAAATTGTCAATTCTGGAAAGTATTTCAGCTTTTCAGAATAGCCATCCTAAGTGGCAGCTAATTATGCGTTGCATTTGGATTTCTCTGTACTGGGGAAAGATTTGTGACTTGAACTAAATATTTTTAAACTTGTGGTTTTTTTTCTTTTTTTGAAAAACTAATATTTAATATTGCTTCTTCTGCATGGCAAGACTGCCTACTTCTGCTATTTAAAAATCCCTTGATGACTTCATTTTCTATTGCAGCTTATTTTCATGCAACCATGAGGAAACTAAAAGCGGATTTGTTTAAATTAACTGTGTTTGTACAAAATGGTACCCAACACAAAGTTTTTTTTAAATGAGTAAAAACTGTTTTGTTTAAAAGTTACGTTTGCATTTTGACTCTTTTTTGTAAGGATGTATGTTGTATGTTTAACCTTTAATAACTAACGTTAAACTGTGGTGTGTGCGTAGCAAAATTACGTATGCATGTTCATGTCAAATGATTGGCTGTGGATAAGATAATAAAATCAGCTTTCATTTTTCTAAGTGTGGTTTGATTTACCAGTATTTTGAGTGAGATGTCTTCGTGCTCTTTGGATTTTTAAAAAAAAAATAATAAATTTATAAATTTTATATAGTGAAAACTCTGCTGTTTCATTACCAGTAACCACTAGTCTAATCTACTGATTTAAGCATAGTGTGTTTCAGGGTTCTTGCTCTCCACTCCGTGCTGCTTCCCTGTCCCCAGAAATATTACTCGTACGGGGTTTGGGGGGAAGAATTTTGTCCCCTCTGTATGGATCCCGGTGGACATTGCTGAAGAACCTGCATCTTTGTTTCCACGTTGAAATCTCAGCACGGTCATCAGAAATGACTTTCCAGGTTAGGCTGCTAGTTTGGTTCTTTCCGTGCCAGCGATGGGGAGATAAACTTCCCTCTCTCTATACTAGTGGCGTACTCTTGTGGATCTAGATATTTTGAACTGTGTAAAATCCAAATAATCTTAGAATGCTAAATAATGTTTGCTGTTTGGCTAGCCTTTTACCAGAACAAGTGTTAAGCTTTGATAGATTAGTGAGGAAAAGCTTTCTGGGAGGGGAAGAATTGAAAGGGAGAACAAGAATGGAGAATTACTAGAAAGCACATCTCTGGGAAATGGCACGTTTTGCATCGATGGGCAAACATTAGTGCACCTCGTGCATGGTGCTGTTGTGATTATGCCTGAAATTAGTTGTCAGCATTCTGGAAGGGAGGTTTGAAACCTACAGGCAAGCATGAATGCTCTCAGCTTCATTTGGATAAATAATATTTTGTAACTTTGCATGGCACACTAGCTCCAAATACAACTTAGCAATGTGACCATGCTGGGTTTCTTGAGGACACCCTTCTGCACCATCAGGAAAGAGTCTCCTTGTTTGTTTGTTTGCTGTGGGTTTTTGTTGTTGTTTTTTGGAAAGAGATCTGCAAAATTTTAAATCATGACACTTGAGGAGGAGTTCAAAGGAGGCATAAGTGTGTATTGCTGGTACTTGTACATCCTTCTGTTAAGCAAGTTAATACTTTTTTTTACTGTTAAAAATGCTTAGCAGAAGTTCTTGCTACAGAGAAAGCAAACCACGCGCTATGCTGTCTACAGGAATAAAGCACTCTGACATGATACTGCTCTCTAGCCCTTCTGGCAGCATCACAGTTGAATACAGCTGAGAAAGGACAAAATTTGATTTGTGTGGGTTTTTTTAAAGAAAAAAATCTTTCCCAGAATTGTATGAGCGTTACCAACTGTACACAACCAGCCATTCTATGTGTGTCTGAAAGGGTTACTGTCCTCATGATTTCCTTACCCCTAGTAAAAAATTAATTTCATCTCAGCCTTGTTATTGTGAATACAGTTATGGAATAACAGTCACAGGAGGGGCAAATCATATTCCTGTCCAGTGTTATTTTTTGGAAGTAAAGCTTTCTAGAGGAAACTTAGTTTATGGAGAATAGATTTTAAGCACAACTTGGGTATTTGACGGCTTTTATTTCCCATCTTGTTAGAAAACACTTGAAACATTAAATCCAGCCTGGGTGCCGTATGGTAGAAGTAGCCATATAGCAGATTTCTTCTTTGTCTGCCTCAGTGGCTACTGACTAAACGAACACAGAATTTCTTCAGTTGACTGTTTTGGACAGCTTTTCCTTTCTGCTGCCCTGCCAACATCGTTGCTTTTAAACATCATTGTCCTTATGGTCTGAGAATAATTGGAGATTTCCTTTTTATTTCCTCTGGCATTTGTGTTCTGCAGTTTCTCAGTGGATGCAGCTGGGAAAGGAGATGAGAGCTGGTGTGCCTTCGAGTTGGCTGGCCCACAACTCCGTGAGCTTCCTCAGAGAAGGAAATGGGCCTTCCCGTGCATCAGGCATCTGCATTTTTGAACTGGAACTGCTGCATGTTCGCTACTCAAGCTTTGGTGCTTGTTCCTTGCAAAAACACTCTTTAATCTTCTCCCTCTCTGTTTTAATTCTTCTGTTGTCTGTGGTAGTGGACGGAAGAGTCGCTGGCAGGCTTAATACTGAGTATTGTTCACTAAGCAGCTTTTATGGAAGTTTTGGGGGAAAATTGCTTGTTTTGAGTGGCACCACCCTGGTGTATGCGATAGCCTGGTGTCTCAGGGTACTGGGCTGGGTGGCACTCTGATTTAAATAAACTCTGCTCAAATGAGCCACCACCACACCCCCCCCGCTGTGAGCTGGTGTAACCGCCATGTAGCTGTTGTGGGTGGAAGGCCTTCTCCTCGCGATGCTGGCTCTGAGTGTAAATGCTACTGCTGCATTCTTATGAGCCTCGAATTCTGGGTACAGGTGGCTCTGGGGAAGGTGGCTCGTGTGATGCACGTCACCATTCATGGTCAGTAGAGTGGCTTTGCTCGTGACCACAGGGTAATGGTGCATGCCACCGCGCACGCCCCGTGTTTTGTTCTGCAGTTCTTTAGTACCAGCCTGCTTATATTGTATTGATTTGGTACTTAAAATTTCACATGTTAAGTACAAATTATGGAAATGTTTCTCCTGTCTGAATCTTCTGCTTATAAACCACATCGGGGTTTCACTTTGGCAGGAACGCTGCCTATTTCCTATTAGTTTTGTAACGACTAGAGCAGCTCTGGAGAGGGAGACCCTGAAATGGCTTGTTGTAGGTGGGCTTGAAGCCTTCCCAGGCAAACATCTCATTCTGGATGCCCCATCCTCTGGCTGCTGTCTCCTGACTCACAAAGCCGATGCCAGCGTGTCTTCTGCAGCGGGAAATGGTGACTCTGCAGGCTATTGCTTCACTTAAAAGGATGCTCATCCTCCTTTTCTTTGGGTTTTCTGAACTTAGTGTCCCTGAAAAGACTTACACCTGTGGAACAAATGTACATAATTAACGAGGAGCAGTTCATGCAGTTGCTGTGAGTTTATAGTTGTGGCATTTCAAAAGTGTGACTTGTGTGGAACTTCACTGCCATGTTTAATAGGTGCTGCAGATGTGGACTAACAAGTCCTGCTTGAGACAGGAGGCAGCCTTGAGGATGCCCTTCCTGGCTGTGGTGATGGGGCTACTTGTTTCTCAACATTTTGAGGAACGCCCTGTAGTGAAGCAGCTTCTTTTATCAAGATGGAGAACTAGCTCTGAATTACCAGGCTGTTTGCTCTTGCTCTTGTTTTTTTAACTGGCCTAAGCAAAGTTCTTGCACTCCCTTTCCCAAGTCCGGTGTAATGTCTGCTGGCTGATCAATGGTAGCAGCTCTCTGTCTGGGGGCAGTGAAGCAAGGGCTAAAGCAAAATCCCGGTGTAGTGTTCGTGCTATCAGTTTGCGTATGAATTTTGTAATGAAGTGCTATCACATGGGATATTTAAAAACTGGATGATTGCATCCAGCTCGGTGCCCTGGATCCGGGGCTAATGCTCCCCCCTGCTTCATGGCTAATGATCCTTTCAGGTTGGCGTCATCCTTCTGGTTTATTACCGTGATGATAAAGAGCGCTTGGACAGGCTTAGCGCTTCTGCCAAAGTTATGACACAAGAAGGGCTGTACCTGGTGAGCAAATCGAGCCTGGTGTAATGTAACCCTGTCTCGAATCTGAGCGATGTTCTGGTCCCTCTGTCACAGCTGTAGTAGAGTGAAGCGGGTGTTTGTGGAGCTGTACGGGGCAGAGGTGAAGTCATCTAGTTACTGTGGGGGATGTTACAAGACTTGGGCAAGTGGTAGAATAAAGCTTTCCAAGTGCTGTAAGTATTTCATCAGCAAATGTTTGAGTGTGTGGTAGTCTGGTGGCCAGTTACACGGACTTGGTGTGTTATGAGCATGCTTCCTGAGGTTGTCCTTGTGTGTGAATGGTCGTGGAGCTCCCAGGGCCATGCTTACTTGCAGCCTTTCCTTGGCTGCCCTGCTCAACCATGCCTCTGTTTCAGTTAGAGCTTCACGCAAGACCTTTCATTTTTCCTTTTGAGAAGCTTTCATCTAATACATATGGAAATGTGTTGGTGCTGTCTGTTATCTCCCATGTGGAGATAACAGTGGACGATGTCCCTGCCCAAGGCAGGAGGGTTGGAACTAGTTGGTCTTTGAGGTCCCTTCCAACCCAAACCATTCTGTGACTCTATTCTATGTGCTGCTCTGATCAGGAGTGATTGAAGAGAGGTCCTAGGACAGCTCCTAGGAGTTCAGGTTGTGCAACAGGAGTTGGAGAAGTTCAGGTGGTGTATTTGTCTTCTCCCCCATAGCAGTCTGCTGTGAACTACAGTGTTCTGCTACCCCCTGCGTGCTCCTGCCCTGGGGACCTGTGGTCTCTGCTCACGCTTGAGCCTTACCCGGAAGCCAACATGTTGCTGCAGGGATCAGAGGTGTCCAATAAATGCGGTGAGGACTTACAAGTGCCTGGTGACCGTGATGATGAAGTGGGACATTGGAGAGCTGTGCCCTCTCCTGGCTCCTGCCATGGCCTTCCTCGTTAGTGATGGCAAATCCCTTTTGGTCTCCAGAGGTGTCTCTGCACGTTCTCCCCCTCGTCGCCATCCAGGGCATATTGCTGATGTCCCTATTTGCAGGAGCACGGAGAGCTCCTGCTGCAGTGACATCTGTCTGTCCTTTATGGCTTTGTTTCTTGCTAGTAACCATCTACACCATGAGATGACTGAGGCAGAGAAGAGCTGGCCTTTCTGGTCATGAGCGTCTAAGATGACCCCAAGTCAGAGCTGGCCTGGCAGGAACATGTATCTGGCCTGGTCTGAGGCCCATCTTTTCCTTGGATGCAGGCAAGAAACCAAGCTGCTTATTTTATCCTGGCTGCCCGTCTTCCCGCATTGCGTGATTTCACACGTGCCCATTGTGTCAAAGTGATGCTCGAACATTGGCCAAATGACGGGCCGGTGTCCAGGCTTGGGAAAGGAATATGTGCGCCCATCCAGCTCATCCCACGCGGCTGGAAACGCACCCATCGTGTGAAGAGACACGTGTCCGATTGCAGGGTGGAGGGAGATGTTGCGGTATAAAGCTGATGTCCCCATAACTAGCTATGTGACCCC